GGTCGCCAAATCCCCAAATCAGACAGTGCAATTCTGAATGATTTTTAAAACGTCCCTAAAAACAATCTGAAGTACTCAATAAATGACACTCTGTACACTCTTAAAGGTGCTTCAAGGGTTCTTTAGTAAAGAAAATGATTCTACACAGAACCATGAACACTCAAAGAACCCTGTGCATGAATAAAGGGTTCTTTGCATCATGAAAGGTTATTCAGATTGAGGCAGAATGTGCTGAAGATGGTTCTACATACAACCTTTTTGAAAATGGTTCTATATAGCACTGCTGCTGTTACGATGTCTAGCTTGTAACGGTAGAAGAACGCTTTTTTCAAAAAGGTTCTACCTAGAACCAACTACAACACACTCTCCATCAATCTAAAGAAGCTTTCATGATGCAAAGAACCATCTGTTTTAAGAGTGTAGTTAACTGTCAGGTCCTGGATAGCTTGAGTAAATGACAACACTTAAAACAACAAAAACAAACCACGTGGTAAGAGGAACACTGCTATACCAGTGGCACTATGTCATATCATTATCTACCAAATATATACGGCTAAAAATACCACAAAAACTGGAAAACAATATCAGTGTGTCAGTATCACTGTATCCTGGTATAGACAACAATCAAGCGGTGATGGCCATGCAAACTAGCCTCAGGGCCTTTACTGCGTCATGAACTATAGGCTTCAATAAATATTTGACTGACCATCGATGGTCTCTGTGGGCTGGGGCCATAACCACACACACTTCCGCCTTTTTATCCATTTATTTTTGTTTTTCCATGAGAACAAAACTCTGAAGCTCATTGTAAAAGAGGAAACCACTGTGCTGGACTTTGCCATCGTGCTGCATATATGACGATATACATCATCATGACAAATTATGTCACGATGCGATACGATATGCTTTTTTGAACATCTCTTGTATATCATCAGTACTTAAACACAAACCAACTTACTGCTCCTTTAATTTCCCTCTGAATAAACTGCATCCACATTATTTTTCACTCCACTGCTGACTATTTCAAGATTATGGCTGAAATATCCAGTCAGGGAGTAGAAGTGTCATTCATTAGTGTCTTAGCCAAGTCAAGAAAAGTGTCATTCTTAGGGCTGGACAATATGACAATACATACTATGTTCTTCTGAGCATATCATGGATATCATCAGAGCTTGTAGAACACTAACCACCTGTATGTTTCATTACAAAGAGAGCAAAATTAGTCCCATTTAACCGTATTTAGTGCCAAATATTAAATAAAAACGATTGCATTCACAGTTTTTGATAGTATTTTTTAAAATGTAGCACTACTGGTTCTTTTTTCTCTGTTCCAACTGATCAGATGTGTGAAAAGACAGATCTTGTGACATATTGTGTATCGTAAACATTTCTTAAATTATCATGATGTTGTATTTTTGCTGGTAGCAACAATACAACAAAGAAAAAAGTAGGACTAATGAAACTGCTGAGGGGGGCAACATCCAATCAGCTCCTTCTTATTCTTACTATGGAGTTATAATCTGGTAATATCCCCCGACTGGCTGATTTTAGGCTCTCCGCTACTGATTCAAGTCTCTATTTTCTAAACGAGCTGGCCACAACCCAGGAAGGTGTACTGGGTAATCCATCACCCACCCCTTATTTACTATACAATGCTATTTGAAGCATTTTGTCTATTACGCTCATCTTGTGTCCAGCTACCAACAGGACACCCATATTCTTTGCAAGGGCCAAACATAAACAATAGTAATTCTTCACAGGTGCAACCTGTCAAAACTGAAGCCAGATAAGAAATGTTTTGCGCAGGTTCTTTGTCCTGAAGAATGTTCAGGAGCTAGCTGGTAGAGCCAGCTTCAAAACAGAGCGAGGCTAAAAAGCCAGAGCAAAACAACCTGTCGAATTCAGCATAACAGAAAAAGGTACATAGCTTCTCAGTCACGCTTCATGTGGCGTCCAGTCTAAACAAAGGATGACTGCTTATCTTTCTCACTCAACCCTCCGTGATCTTCGCTCTGACAATAACGGCGGGTGATGTATGAGGCCAGAGTGTCAGAGTTTGGGGGAAACGCGTAGAAGGATCAGGACCGGCTCACAGCAAAGCGCACATCAAAGACCCAGGAAAAGCCACATGGAGCAGAGGTACCTGAGAGGAGGGGAAATTACCTGCGGCAAATAACAAAACACGACACCAGGCTTTAAGCCCAAACTGCCTCGGATATCGTGCAGATCGCCAACTTCAATGGGCCGCCAGGTCACGCGTTCGACCCCAGGCTTTATGAGGCCAGTTTGGAGGCGATTACGGTCCGGCCGTGGCACGTGGACGCCGCTGATGCTTTTCTTTAGCTCTGCCTACAGAAGTCAGTGCCAGTTTATTTCTGGCAATTACAGAGCAGATACATTTCAAAGCTACAATTTAGACACGGTTGGCTTATCTCTATTATCTACATAGATAAAATAAACAATCATTTAAAGCAAAAAATTTGGTGCATCAACATGGGCTGCGTTCACACAGCAGGTAAAAGTGGCCCAAATCTGATCTTTTTCTTCATGTGACACAGATGTGTGTCTGTGTGTCAGTGTGAACAGATAAACACACTGAATCTGACATTTTCAATTCCGATTTGAGACGCTTTCATATATGGAATTGAAATCCGATACGGATCCGATATTCGGCAATGCGACTCAGTCTGAACAGCCAGATTGGAATTCATGCGGCTTTTGTGTCAATCCAACTCGACATTCGTCATCATTTCGTGCTGCTGAGACTCAAACATTTAGGCTGATGTTTCTGTACAAAAATTAGAAAAGGCTCATTGCAATCACTCCGTGTTCGAAGAGGTTTCTAAAGAAATGTCCGAACGCGGCCGCAGGAGAACGAAGCTGCAGCGTCGGAGAACCATTAAAAGTCTGAAAGCGAAGTTTAAAGAATCCGAGGACGCGAACCAAAGAAGTGACCGCGCCCTTTTTACGGCTCGAACACATTCTGGGTGATGAGCCCAGCTGTCAGTCAGTGAAGCTTCATGATGGCTCCTGTGATGCTGGTGAAGATGAAGCTGATCCTCTGGGAGCGACTGGCGTTCGTTGGTGGTCGTGATTGTTCACCTCTGGATGAGCCGTGAAGCAGCGGGACGCTCTGATCTTTTGCGCATGTGGGTCAGTTTAGGAGCTGATCTGTTCAGACTGATGTCGCATACAGATCACATTTAAAAGATAATCTGAACAGACAAACAAAAAAAAAAAAAAAATCAGATTTGGGCCACTTTTACCTGCTGTGTGAACGTAGCCTTAGACCTCATTTCTGCTTACTTGAAATGCACTCAATCAGCCAAAACATGTTTGGTGTTACTTCCTTCTTTGGTTTTGCACTGGAGTTACAAGGCTAACATAGCCAACAGGCTATGAAACCTTATATACACCAATTAGCATGGTGCAAACTGCATGCCTAAGTCATGCACTTGCCTCAGACTGTGTGGATTCAAATTTGTGGTTTCTGGTGCTGCATGTGATATTTATATATCTATAAATATAAACAAAAATGTCACAAATGTAAAAACAGTAGTAAGAGCTTGAAGTTTTCCATGTTTTGTTTGTTTTTATATACAAGGGTATTTACGGAAGACTTTAAATGTGAGTTAAGGGTGAACTGCCGCTTTAAAGGGGAAATTAAGCATGTTTCACTTGCTTTGATACAAGCAAAGCAATTCAGAGTGGTTTGAGAAGTGGTTGAATGACAGAAGCTCAGATGTCTTTACAGTGGTGGTGACAGGAACCACAGGTCGCCATGACTACAACACAAATATAGAAATTTTATTTACTATCCAAAACCACCAGCGAAACAATGCGTCACACATCAGGCAGTGAATTCATAACCATCTTATCATGGAATAACTTTGTGAGGGAGCTTTTAGAGGTGGACGTCTGGTTCCCATCACCACCACTGTGACTCTAGAACGGAGCGTTTCACACCAAACCACTCTGAACGACTCTGTTTACATCTTGATCGTTTAATAACTACGGAATAATTTTAAGCAGATAGGCTGTGAGGTCTTAGTGGGTGAACGTCCCATTTGGCGATCTCGGAAACGTGTTCATTCCTTCGCTATGGTGCTCGGTAAAAGTTATTACACCCCTACAGAAGGAATAACCTCCCCACGTTCCTTTGAGAGGCACTGATTGGGACATGGTATTAACAGAAATAAAATACATGCCAGTCAGTCACCATCACTCCTAAAGCATCACATTTAGAACGAGAATCCAGTAACTCTGACGCTGATTTAGCGTGCATACACAAAATCTTAAGCAAGACGAGGGAACGTTTCTGCAAACTGAGTGCTGACTAAGTAGAACCTGATCTGTGTTGAAGGTCAGACTAAGTTCATCCACATTATGAATGCCAATATGAGCAAAAACACTACAGGGTTAATGGAACAATTAACAGCATCTATTACGGCAGTGCTTGTGGGAAACCCATGCATGGCATGTCTCTGCGTCCATAACGTGCCCGATTCAAGTCATCAGGTAGTTAAAATGTGCTGAAAAGGGCATAAATGCACTGCGCACAGGTTTCCCAGGAGTTATATTATGCATTTCCAATTTATAAACACACACAAAACAAGAAATAAAATCAATCAAATCAATAAATAAATAATAAACACTGGCAAGGAAGCACTGCCAAGATTCAGTTTCAGCAAGTGACCCCAACTTAAGTTGATGTTAGTGGAAAAACAAGCAATGTGGCTGAAATGTGCTGTATCTTAGCCACAGACGCTAACTGAAATTGTGTTTTGCTGACCAGCACTCGCTTAGTGTTGCTAAGCATCACAGCTGCCGCTAGAAATAAATAGATAAATAAATTCAATAAAAAATTAAGGGCCAAACTGCACTCCGCCAGATCCACTGTTTATACACAGCGAGTCACGATGCCATGCTGTGGGTCCATGCAGCACACCCGCTAAAGCTAAAGCTAAAGCTTCACACCAGGGCCTGTCCACATACTGTACCTATCGCCCAGAGGCTTCGAGTCGCGCAGCCTACTGCCAGGCTGGAAGGCTCGGTAGAAAACTGTAGAGGGGTTCCTGCGCTCCATTCAGCAGAAAGAGAAAACAGAAGAGAGGTTAGGGACACGGTGGAGGACAGAGAAAAGGAGGGAAACTCAAGAGTGAAATGGAATTGAGTATAAAAGATTTAGGGCTGAACGATTTGGGGAAAATATCGATTTTATATATCGAATTGCGATTTTTCTGACTAATATTGTGACGACAATTTAAATGGCCTCTTCTGGCTTGAAACCTGAATGCAGTGTACCAGACCGCCAGTAAGTTATGGCTGTGATGAGGCTCTTTTACTGCCCTGTTGTGGCTCCACAGCTGAATCAGATTAGTAGGTAAAAATAAAATAATCCTCCTTTACAGTAAAATAAAGCTCTGCTGGTCGTTCAACACAGTTTAACAATAAATGGTCTTAAACTCTGGAGTTAATGTAGAACTGCTAATTCACCCTTTAACCCTGAAGATCAGCGCAGACTGCTGGTCACCATAGCAACACAGACAACAGTCTCGCCTAGCTAGTAGCTAACGAAACGGCAAAGAGAGAGATTTAAGACGAACATCGATAATCTGGAGACGAATGGACTTATTAGTGTTTATAATCACTCCAGCTGGTTTCCTGATACGTTTAATCTGCAAAGAGAAACTGAAATACTAAAAAGTCACGAGGCTAAAGTCGCTTCTCATTCGCCAGCTTCTTGTTCTAATTGTCCCGTTCCACCTTAAATGGTGCAGCACTTACATTCTGATGCCATTTAAGGTGGAATGGTAAAATCTGAACAAGAAGCTGGCGAATGAGAAGCGACTTCAGTCTCGTAAAAAGTCGAACATTGAGAGACATTTTACAAGAAACTGTTCTACTTTTGAGGAAAAGTTTCCTGCTGGAGATGCGAGAAAAGCAGCTATAGCTGAGCTAAAGCTTAAAGCAGAGCAAAGTAAGTCTGTGTTTTCATTTATATTATATTTTTTAGTCTATACTAGTACATTAACACATATGGAGACATATTTACAGCCGTGATGGTAAAATGGACATGTGGCTCCCAAAGTGGTTTGATTTTTCTTGAAAGGAAAAAATGGCTCTTAACATTTGGGTTGCGACCCTTGGGCTGACTCATCTACAGGCAGTTCGCAAGCTCTCTGTGATTAGGTTAAATTTCCTGTCTTAAAACATTAAACAACATTTTTGATAACGTGGGCTATAATTTAAAAAACTGGAGCTCCTGCAGTTTGAAAATTGCACTCTGTCAAAGTGTGATTTCAATATAAAACCGATGAATCTTTCAGCCTTACCTTAGAGGAACATGCCTCTAGTGGAGGCACAAACTAATGCAGAGTGAAATGAACACTGATAGTTTAGGCAGTTAAACAGGTTCCAGTAGAATGTGCTTTTAGTCATGTTATGGTTCTCTCATAGAAACGCCTTCTAAGAACTCTGACACTCAGTGTTAGTCAGTGATCAAAACTGCTGTAGCTCGACCCAGGCTGGTTTTAGCTCCACACACTTGACAATGGTTCTTCAAGGGTTCTTTAGTAAAGGAAAGAGTTCTCTGCATCGTGAAATGGTTCTTCAGACTGACAAAGAATGTGCTATAGATGATTCTGTATAGAACCTTTTTGAAAAGGGTTCTATATAGCACCAAAAAGGGTTCTTCTATTGTAACAAGCCTGACATTGTAACAATAAAAACCCTTTTTGGTGATATACAGAACCATCTACAGCACATTCTCCATCAGTCTGAAGAACCACTGCACAATGCAAAGAACTCTTTAACCATGCAAAGGGTTCTTTGAACCATTAGAACCATTTCCTTTCCTAAAGAAGCCTTGAAGAACCATCTTTTTTCAGTGTGTAGTCATAGCAGTTTACTGTTGCAGTTTATAATCGATTCCTCAGTAATTTCTTAAAATATTTACATATTTAAATATTCAAATATTCTTGGCAGTCTGCTGATGTGGTTGGTGCTCCTATGTAGGCTATGTTTACTTTGGTTTCAGGCCTTTTACTTCATATAAATCACCAATTTGTGAATGCACTATATGTGCATTAGTAAGATGCACCATTTTATTCCTCCTCCAAGCTGGACTGTGAAAGTATCCAACCTTATAACGTCTTGTAGGGCTGAAAGATTAATCCTTTTTATATCGAAATCGCAATTAAAGAAAATTTTCAAATAGCAAAAGTAGAAAATGTGTAAAATTATAGCCTACATTATTAAAAACGTTGTCAAAAAGGTTTTAAGAGTGGAAATTTAACCTAATAACACAGAGTTGTATACTGCCTTTAGAGTTAGACCAATCAGAGGCAACCCAACCTCAATCTGTTGACATCACAAACACAACTTACCAGCTTTTTGGCAAACTACATTAAGGGTTTTGAGCCTCAAGCCAGAAAAGTGGATATTGTGGTCTTCTTGACCCAAAAAAACAGGTCAGAACCTCGGTTTATAGTAAATAATTGAAATTTAAATCGCAGTCAGAAAAATCGCAATTAGATATTTTCCCCAAATCGTTCAGCCCTAATGTTGAGTATGTTATTTCATCTGATTATGAAGTTTTGTGAACGAATTATCTTCTGAGAGTGATTTTAAATGACTTGCTTATATGGTTTCTGACAGTGTTACCTATAAAAATGGATGCAATGCTAATTGTCGAGATAATAAGCCTTCATTACTTGTTAGTTACATTAGCCTCGCAGCTGCAGTGCAAAACTAAAGAGGCAAACCTCAGACACCAGACTGAATACATTCTGGTAAACAGAGAAAATGGTGTGAATTTGATTTTTCCCCAAACTATTCCCTTATTTATGTCACCCCCCCCAACAAAAATCTGTGGCAGTACCAGCAGCACGTGTTCCATATAGAAACACATTCTCGAACGAACGCTTTCACGATGCAAAGTACCCTTTAATCATGCAAAGGGTTCCTTGAGTGTTCAGGGTTCTATACAGAATCATCTTCTTTACTAAAGAACCCTTGAAGAACCATCATTTTTCAGAGTGTAGAGTCAGAACTGTTTACAATGGTAATGATAGGAACCAGAGGTTTGAAGAAATAGATGGTGAACATGTAAACAGTCATTCAGAGTGGTCTGTTATGAACTTGGTTCCTCACGGGTTCTTCAGTATAGAAGAACCCTGAACACTCAAAAGAACCCTTTGCATGATTGAAGGGTACTTTGTATCATGAAAGAGGTCCTCAGATTGATTCTCCATCAAGCTGAAAACCCAGAGTCCGTTAGCCTGATGTTTCATTCAGCGCCGTAAAAAGTGGAGAACGTTTTAACGAGGCTGGGGCCTCAAAGGGTTAACGCTACCCTCAACAACTACCAACAATATGGAGCCTGTAAGTACAGAATGTACTTTATAGCGTAGGAGGGGGGCTGTATGGAGAGAAGAAGCCCCCTTGTGGAGGAAGGGGAGGGGTCAGTGCTGGTTTACTCCATGTGTGAGTGAGTATCTGGACTTGGAACTTTTCCTGCTTTTCCTAGAATCCCTGGAACACAAACTGCCTTGGCAGCATCGTCTCAGAACCGCACACACTGCTGCTTCTCACCAGGCACACGGCTTCTTAGAATGCCGGATTATTTTTGGTCATCATAAATCACGGCTCGCTGGTCGGTGAGGAGCTGCCGTCCACAGCCGGTATCGCTTTGAAAGACATCGAGCGCTTCTGGACGAACAGATACCGTCTCAGTTTACGCGTCTGTGATGTGTTACATAAGAGCTGCCGAAAAGCTAAACCATGAAATCCCAATCTTACGTTCCAAAACAAGGGGTTCTTCAGGGGTTCCCTAATAAAGAGGACGGTTATGTGAAAAACCATGAGAACTTCAAGGAGAATTCCACCAATTTTTCAACATTTTTGCATAAATAAATGCTTAACATGTAAACAAAGCCAGAGTGGATCAGACACAGCACAGCACAGTTTTTAAACACCTCAGTGTCGCTGCTGGACTGAGAATAGTCCACCAACCAAAAACACCCACCCAACAGCGTCCTGTGGGCAGCGTCCTGTGACCACTGATGAAGGACTAGAGGATGACCAACACAAACTGTGCAGCAGCAGATGAGCTATCGTCTCTGACTTTACATCTACAGGGTGGACCGACAAGGTAGGAGTGTCTAATAGAGTGGACAGTGAGTGGACACAGTGTTTAAAAACTCCAGCAGCACTGCTGTGTCTGATCCACTTGTACCAGCACAACACACACTAACACACCACCACCACGTCAGTGTTACTGCAGTGCTGAGAATGATCCACCGCCCAAATAGTACCTGCTCTGTGAGGGTCCACAGGGGTCCTGACCACTGAAGAACAGGAGGCTAACAAAGTGTGCAGAGAAACAGATGGACTACAGTCTGTAACTGTAGAACTACAAAGCATCACTACTCAGCATCTGAAATGTCAAACCCTAAGTTTTTTATTTTAGAAGTTACTGCGATGTTGAAATCCTACAGTCACACTGAAACTAAGTTTGTTCATCCTGGTTCCTTCACACGCTGCTTTGCAGCAATCCTCAAATCTTTGCATGAAAAATCATGAAGAAAAGCAAAAATACTGCAATTCTGCAGCAGGAAGAAGAACAGGATGGAGGTCAGATGTCCAGGAGGGATTATGACAGTGATTTACACGCGTACACTCTGGACACGAACTTCCTAGCACTTTACGAAAAACCTCACATGAACAGCTTCTGACTGAGACCGTCCTGCTTTAATGCTTCTACATCCCTACGTTCTGTATGATCACTGTCTGTGTTTACATGCAAAGATTTTCTCCAATCTGATCGAATACATTCAGATCATAGATTAAGACTGAGGTGTTTATTCTCACTCTACTCAACAATCTGATGAAAATCTGTTTACATGTTCACTACAAGTAATCTGATCCAAAATGACGCGCATATGTAGAGAACCGCTTAGTGTAGACGTTACCATGACAACCAGCATCATGTGAGTCCAGTCAGAGTGAGATGAGCAGCAGTGAGCAGCGCTTGTGTTTTTAATTGCTTTAAAATGATGTCAGACTCAGGAAA